ATGATGACGAAGAAGAACTGGCTGTCCCTGCTGAACCCCCCAAGGAAGAGCACGAGGAAGTCGTCGAACCCGCTCCCGTACCCGAGATCAAGGAGATCGAGACTGTCCCCGAGCCCGAACCCGAGCAAGAGCCTACACCTGCACCCACTGAGCCTGAGCAACCCGTTCCTCAAGTGGAAGAACCCGTTGTTTCTCCGCCCGCTCCACAAGTCTTGCTAAACGGTAGCGCCCTTCCCAACGATGCCGAGAAACCTACCACAAGTTACGAAGAGGCGCCCATTCCCAAACCAGAAGAACCCGTTTCCGTACGTCACACATGCCTTCTCCAAGGCTAATGTCTAATCCACCCTGCCTCTTGATAAACAGACACCGAAGGCCGAGGAACCGTCTAGCCCTTCTCCTGAACCTACGGAACCAAAACCTACCCCTGCGGAGCCCGTTGCAGCTGAGGGGTCCACCAACGGTACCACCGAGAACCTCCGTGCCGAACTCGAAAAGGAAATTGCGGTCTTGGATACACCGCAATCACCACCTACGCCTCCTCCCGCGGCTGTCGCAGAACCTACGCAGGTGCCCGCTCCCGCTCCTGCGGAACCATCTACACCACGACAACCGACCTCGGTTCCTCTTCCTGAAACGCCCATCGCAAACGGTACGAAGCCATCCACTCCCACTCCCACCACACCCGCTGCGAAGCCTTCCGAACCTGCCCCCCTCCCGAAACCCAACCAAACGGCCCCATCGTCCCCATCGAAATCCACCGCGAGCAAACCATCGACACCCCACCGTCGTACCTCGTCCGGTTTCTGGCACTTCCCCTCACGCAGGAGCAGCCACGAAGGCGCCGCGTCCGAGCACGATGGCTCGGTCAAGGAGGGCGGCCGTAAGAAGAGGAGCTCGCTGATCGCCAAGATCAAGGAAGTCTTCCATCATCACGACAACAAAACCGACAAGAGGGAAAGGACGAATTCGAAGCAGTAAACCCGTGAGCGGTTGTACGCTTGTTCGGATTTCTTTTGGTAATTCTTTTTTAGATCTCCCATACGATTCTTTTCATGCCATGCCATCTGTTCGTTGTTGCTTTCTAATCTTTCAGGACGCCCATTTCAGCTTTACTCCCCTTATACCAATCTGTCTCCGCGCGTGTCACCCACCTGTCACCGCGCAACTCCCCCCTCCCGGTCATTTATAATCCTCTCGCCCAACACAGATACACGTTTTTCTCTTGCCTGCCGACCTTTTCTCCCATTTTCGTAGAATAGTTTCTCTTCCTCCTTAGGCGTCCCTTGATCTAGCTAGCTCCCTCGAATATACGATAATGCCTTTTCCTTACGCAACTACACAAATTTTCCTCGGTCTGCAGTGTACGTACAGTGTAGCAGGATAGACGCGTGCACCCGCGCAATCTCCCCCGGATGCACGATGCATCGAACGTCCACAGAGCGGGGCACCACAGCAGACCAATTTTTTTAAGCTTTCATGATGTACGATATGATTACAAGAAAAGCCAGCTTGTAACGCTTGCTTCTCCTTCATTACGCGGTGTGCTAGCGGTTAAAAATGACTAGACATCCTTGAGCGAAGCGCCCATCTCGCCGTACCTTGGACTAGCACCAAGATGGACAAGGTGGAGGTGTATAACAAATCGTTCCAACCCCCGCTGACGTGGTTGTGGTGCATCCGCGGGGCTGTTATAGAGGGCTTTTGGCCAACAACGAACAAACTCTGATCAATGCTGTGAATCGTCTCACAGCAAAAGCGTGAAGCCGCAGTTGTCTTCCAAAGCCGCCCGACGTTGTATATGGCCTTGCGTATACCGCCACGGCCGAATAACGACCGATGAGTCAAGAAAAAAGATTGTACGATGAGCACGTTGGAACATTTGATTGTTGGTGCGCACGTGTCGCGGAAGAGGTCCTGAGTATCAGCGAAATTCACGTGAATCTTCCACCCTCCCTTCCGTAGAAACCACAGACGAGTACATTCATGACGGGACGTACAAGACGTAAAAAGGGTTCGTAAAGTGTCCGTTAAACCATAAGAGTCAACGACAGTAACGATACAGGAGACACAAGAAGGAGCGAGTAGGGAGGGTTAGGCGCAGGCTATGGATACAGTCGAGAACCAGAAGAAACGAAATTCAGTGCTCCAGGAAACCGTGATCGATATGCATATCCACCATATAACTCCTCGTATCGCCGGGCACGCCGAGCAAGTCGGCTGTACGAGAAGGTGAGAACAACGAGCTTCCATGGTTTGCAAACCGGGGACTGATGGGCGCGTGCATGGCAGGTGTGTTGGGACTAGGATAGTGGGCAGTTGGCGCAGGTGACGATGGAAGAGAATTCGCCGTTGGGAATAGGTGGTGGAAATCTACCATCGGCGACGTCGAGAACGCACCACTACCGGATGCATGATGAAAATGGAACGGGTTGACGCTGGTGCCCGTGAGAGGTGCACTCATCGGGAGGTCGTGCATCAGGTTATTACCAAAATCGAGCCCGAGTCCATTCAAAAAGTGCGCGTTGTTCTGGAAGTAACTCGCCAGCGGAACGCCAAGATTCGTTTCCATCGCCGGGGAGAATGGCCCAGAGTAGCTGAGCGGCGTGCCATGTACAGACGGGTGGACACTGCCATGACCAGACAGCCCAGGGGTCGGTGCATGAACCACAGGACTCTGGGGGACCGCGGGGCTGCTGGACGCCGCGGACATGGGACTGGCAATACGAGACGAAGCGCTCGACTGGTATCCCGCTGACGATGGCGGTGTCGCCGAAACTCTGACTTGGGGTACCGACGTTTGAGAAGCTTCCGCAGATGGCACAACGCCCTCCTCAGCCCCGTCTTCTTCTTTCATGCTGACACGAGGTTTGCTCGCCAAACGAGTAGAGCGTCGCGTTCCTTGTGTAGGTTCTTGAGACAGGTCGGGGGTGGGCGCATCGCTGTCGGAAACATGGGTGGACATGGAAGACTCGTCTTCCGCTTCTTCATAATCGTCCTCAGTCGCTTCGCCGGCGGCACGCCGAGTGGCCTTGGCCTTGGCGATAGCAAGCGGGAGATAGTGCTCGTTGAAGCGTTCGCGCGTCATTTGGTTGGCAAGTTGCCCTTCGGTGTACATGTCAACCTTATCGGCATGTTTGTCGTGGACGTGGCTCTTGAGGGCGTCCTTGCGCTTAAAACTACAAGAGGCTAATTAACCTCATGTCGAAGCCAAGATGATATAAATGAGTACTCACGAAGCACATCCTTCGGGACAGGTGAAACTGGGCGGCGCATGAGCTTCATACTCGTGTCGGCTTCGGCTCGAGGGATCGCTGAACGGGGCATGACCACAATGGACGCGGCATATGTAGGGCGTCTTGCCCAGACTGTCACGCAGAGGCTATCAGTCGAGAACTTAATCATCGACAAAAGGGTCGAAACGTACTGGATGTTCAAGTGCGTCTGCATGCCACCCTTTTGCGCAAATGACTTGCCGCATTCCGGGCAAATAAACCGTCTACGAAACAGAGTCAACAACACAAACCCGAGCGATAGCGCACAACACCTACTTGATTTTGAGATGGACCGCATTCACATGCCGTCGTACATCGGTCGACCGACCGAATGCGCGATCGCATTCCGGGCAGTGGTGCGTTCCCTTGGGGCGTGAAGTACCAGTCTAAACCGGAAGCGGGAGTCAACGCCGGGAAGTGGAACTCCAATGACGCCCACGCGCACCTTCTTGGATGTCCTGACACGACCCATCGTACAAAGCGTTGGAGATACTGAGGTATTCGAGGGAGACGTAGGAGCTGTGGAGGTGAAAGCGTAGAGATAAGATGATATCGTTCGCGGAACGGTTGAGGGGTGATGATCAACACACAAAACAGACGAGAGAGTGCAGAGGGGGGATGGGGATAACGACGGGGAGAACAAATGGGTCAAAGCATTAATTTATACTGAGCGGAGGGCGTATCCGAGCAGAGGGGAGGGAGAAAAGCAGAGACGGGGAGAGTCGAACGCGACTGACCAGAGAGGCTGACAGTGGGAAGCTTTCCCATTGTCCCTGGGCGATCGAGAGTTGGGGGGGCTGACTGAGCGAATTAACACTGGCGGAAACCCGTAAACAAGGTTAGAGCCCCGACCGACGGCACGACGCCAGAGCAAACCTGTCGTTCGCCGCTCACCGGATTCCCTAATCCGGAACCACGTAAGAATCGAGAATAATACGTGCAGAACTAATCTTTAATAAGTGTCGTTGTCTCTGGAGACGTGTAGAGGTGGCACGCAAGGCGGTTGGTACAATGCCAGAGGGAACCGCGGCGGGTGAAGTGATCGGGAGAGACCGAACACGGGGACATCGGAGTTTGAAAATGAGTCCTACGCTCTAGTACCTGTGACAGCACTAGACCAGAACGAAATGCAGATCGGTGACATTAACCATTTTTGGCTCGTCGTCGCACCATCCCAGAGTGGGCGGAAAATGAAATATGGCGAAGAGGGCTCCGTGAATTCCCATGTCACGGTCGTCACTCGTCGCTGGGGTGGACTAGACCGCACTGCCTGTTGTCCTTTGCTTGACAGCGAGGCAGCGCATGTTGCCTGAGGGAGTATGGGGACCGTTTGATGCGCCGATTGACGAGGAGGGTAGCAAGTGAGCGGCGGCCCAGACCGGTTGACGTGTTCCAGGAGTGCGTCGTCCTCTTGTGCGCACGTTTTGTTCTACATTCTTGTACATTGCGTCAATCATACGTTGCAGATGTCTGCTTGAATCCATGGATACTGGGCGTGTCGAGGTGGGTTTCAGGGAGGAGGGCATGGCAATGGCATTCATCGCGTAAATTGCGCGGCAGGGCAAAGCGCAATGCAGTAGAATATCCCACGATCGAGAACCCTGAGCCGTTACCTTTTACCTTGAGGAGACAAATATAGCGGTGCTGCTTTGTGGGATTAGCAATACATTGGGGAAATGGATAGGGTGGACTGCAGCAGTAAAGAGTCAAGCGGAGAAAAAAGAAAGCACCGAATGGGATTTGAACCCATGGCCTTGGGATAGTCATACTGCAATCCCCTGCTCAACCACCGAGCCCCCGGTGCGTTACGGAACCATTGCTTTTGGCAAGTCCCCATTCGAACATAACATTCATATAGACACGAATCAGCCAAAATGTCACTGATGATGTAAGTCCCAATAGAGTCGCCCGGCGTCCATACGCCTTGGCTGCAAGTTAGGCCGTATCAAGACACCGGAAACGAAGACGACGGCAGCTCAAACCGGCATCCTTCGCTCGCACGCCGGCTCACGTTCCGTGTCTCCCACCACCACCAACTGCCCCCTTTTGACCGGAAATCATGGACGAATGCACGGCGGAGCACTGTTTCTATGCATTTGACACACTCTACTGTCATCTCAACCC